AACAATCTTATTTTTTTGGACATGAAGAGATAAAGAAGCCATTGCAATTGCCTGAAATACTAAGCCCACTAAAGGCACAAAAATAGAGGGTAAGTTTGTCATAGAATGGATACCTCAACTTCATATTTGTACCTGTTATTGTTATATTCTTAATTCTAAAGATATCTTATCTTATAATAATTCGAATTTGTATATTATATATAAATATATCTAATAAGTACAAGAAATGTAGAACTAAATAAATGAATCTATTCATCTTTCTAAATGAAATAGATGTATAATAATCCACTTTTTATTTTTATTTATTATTATTCTATTGTTCCTTTTTGTCTTCTAATTTGAATTAATAAAGAAAGAATTTATTCCATTACAAATTCCCGAAAGATTTATTAGAATCTGATCCAACAACAGAATTTTTATTAATAAGCATGGAATTGTAAAAAGATGTAAGACTCTATATCTATATTTTCATTTTCTATATTTCTCTAATTGAATTATATATACATACGTAAAAGAGGAAGATGAAATTCTTTTATTTGCCTCGACTAATTAATTATAATTGCACGGAAGGAAGAATTCGCTTTTGATCTTGTTGATAGGGGTTTACTGATTCGTAAGCAGTAATATCGGTAAACAAAAAATAAATAATTATTCGCATGATTCTTTCTACAATTCAATCTTATGTCACCAAAGAAAAATCCATTCTTCGGGGTTTACTTTGATTCTCATAACCTAACTACTTTGCTCTATTTGATTGAATTTTGATTCAAAGGAAAAAAACTGTGAAGCTGAAATAACTCACTCAGAACACCTTTTAAAGGATTACGTGGTACAATTGAATTGAATAAGCCCTTATGGAATAAATATTCAGCCGTTTGTGAACCCTCAGGCACTGTCTTATTCAATGTTTGTTCAATTACTCTTTTACCCGCAAATGCAATATAAGCATTACGTTCAGCAATAATGATATCCCACAATATACCAAAACTAGCTGTCACCCCAGCGGTAGTAGGAGATATAAGAATTGATACATAGAATAACTTTTTATTTGATTGATAATCATATAAAGCAGAAGATATTTTAGCAATTTGCATCAAACTCAAACCTCCTTCTTGCATCCGTGCTCCTCCGGAAGCACACACTATAATAAGAGGTAAAAATTCATTGGTAGCATACTCGATCAATACCTCGGTGTAGGTCCTGGATAATCCTTTGTTCCACAGTCCTGAGGCTATTTATAACTAGCCAATTAAGAATTTTTAGATGTATTAATACTAACAAGTGCATCAAAGATACAGTCATCGATTCTCCCGAGAGGTCACAATTACCGCGAGTAAACATATTAATTTGAGGAACGCATTTTTGCTATGCTACTAATACTTGTACTTGCTCTGCTATTTTGCCCAAGCTTGGCTGAGGAAGGGTTA